ATTAAATTAAGAATCCATAGTAAATTCTGTATACTCACCATGATTCCATGAATTGTTGTTTTATTTAAGTACTGTGAGAAAAGTGTATAAAAAAAAGTGAGAATTATGAGATTTATTTGAATGCATTAGGCTCGGCATCTGTTATGTTTGTTCTCATGAGTAGATGAGGGTTGTGTATATATATATTGTCGTCTTGTTCTCAAGAATAGACGAGTGCTTTAATTTACACACGTTCGTAATGCTACAGTCTGAGAAGTGTGGGTCAAACTTGGGACGATATCCCCATACAAGTTTTGGCTTGGAGCGGTGTTAGGTATTACGGAAGGCACATGGAATATATGTGTAAGCCAGAAATGAAGGATTGAAGTGGCGAAGTTAAGGTTCAAAGAATAAATATAAAGCTATTGCTATAGTTTGAATTGTATTGTTTGTACATCTTGAAAAATAGTAAACAATCTCGATAAATTACGAATTTAAGGCAGAGACATGTAAATGTAATTCTTGACAACTTTTGTATTTTAACTTTTTACTAAAAAGATTAATTAGAACTTGTAATCGGATGATCTTTAGTTACAATAATTTTTATTCATTTTAGTAATGCAAAATTTAGATGTTGTTTTAACCTACGAAACGAGCTCATTTTAATTGAATTTTGTGTAAAATGAAGTAAAACAGTATTCTGAACACTTTTCGTGCTTGAACTTTTTTCGGAAAAAAATCATCTTAGGACAGTTTATTTTCGTTTTCAGTTTCAGGTTTTTCGTCGAATTCCATGTGGTTCTGCCATCAAGTTTCTCTCTCAACCTGTTCAGTTTCTACTAAATCTTCCGCGTTACCTTTTAGGAATTTTGATTTCTGTACAACTTTTGTTCTTTGAGTAGTGATCAATTCAAATGATTTAAGTATGAAGTTGGTACATTTTTATACTTCTTTAGTATTACTTATGATTAAATTATATTAACTTTATTTTTACAGAATGATGGGACTATAACTTTTTATGCAGGTTGACCCACCATATTTTATTTATTTTTTATATACTTAATTTATATTTAGTTGTTACGGGCAAGAAATTGAATGCCACCGTATCTCGGGAAATTGCTCCTTCGTCTTTGGTGCGGGTGTAGAATACTTGTTATGTCCCGTAAAAGAATTAAATGTATTTTTGTTTGTGTCTGGTGGACCATGGGTGTCAAATCTTATACTCATGCCAATATACTTGTATACAGACTCGTTTTGTCTTTTTGGCATCTCGGGTGCGTTCTATTTAGCGCAGCCGAGCTTCCTTTGTAGAATTAGTTGGGACTACGGTGGTGACGAGAAATAACTATGGTTGTAGGACATGTCTCACGAACTTCTTTTATTTTCTAGAGTTTAGGATTGATATTAGTTTATTTAATTATTTATAACCTTAGTATTTTGATAATTTGACATTGTGGTTATTTTTTAATTTTACATTATTTTCAGCTGTTTTTGACTATTTGTTACTACTTAATGTTGGAGGAATTAGATAGTCATGAATTTATAATGTATGGATTTGGTTGGCATTTTGTTAATTTTTTTTATATCTTGTAATTTTTTTTTTTTTTTTAGTATTGAATTTACTTAAACCAAATTGAGACGTAAACATTTAGATTTTGTTTCACCATTAGGATTTGGATGATGAGATATTGATTGTGATTTAGTCCTAATTTAATATTTAATTGTTCAAATTTTGGGACGTGACAAAATTTTTTTTGTAGTCTAAGTTCTCTCACTCACTCACACCCATATAATAACCTACTCTCTCATTCTCTCTATTTCTCTTCTTTGCACCAAACCTTCTCCTCTCTCTCTCTCCTCTTCGTTTCACAGCATTGTCCAAAGCTTCATCGGTGTTGACTATGAAGGGGGAATTCGAAATTCCTGAATCATCACCTTTTAGAAGCTTCCTCGTCGCGATCTCTTCTTCTTTAAGCCAAACCCTCGATCAATCACCCTTCTCTCTCTATATTTTCTCTCCAAAAGTACCACTGAATCCAGTGGAAAACATGGCGGCAACGGTGTCGTGGCACCCTAGAGGAAGGGTTTAGAAAGATCTGTGGGTTACTTGAACAACAGATATCTCTGACTTCTAATAAGTCTTTAGATTTGGCAAACAACTCCAGCACTACTCTCTATACTTTGATTTCAATAACTATCTCGTTTTTATCTTCGCCTGTGCCGAGGTACGGTAACCCCAACTCTTGATTCGTCTTCTTTGTTTTCTTTGAGAAAATATCTGTGATTATTTTTTGCGTTGATTGGATTGACTTCTTGATTGGTTTGTCAATTGTATCTAAATCCTCCCAAGTGTTGGTTTTTTCTTGTTAGATTCGTTTAGGTTAGTGTTTATTAGATGATAGAGTTTTCTAGTTATTACAGTTTCTTATTGACTGAGTAATGATGTTACTAGATTGCGTTTTTTCAATTGGTCATAATAGCATCAATTTCTCTGGTTTAGTTAAAAATTTCTCTGGTTTGGTTAAACAATTTCTCTGGTTTAAATCTTGAACAAACACAGAAAAATTTGTGAACAAAGATTTTGTTCATTTTTTAGAATTTGTTTTTTGAAATTTTTTTTTTTTGAAAAACTAGTAACTAGTTTGATGTTCTTTATCTTGTTAATGCTAAGGTTCTTTCTCTGGGAAGAAATTCTCTAAGAAATTCCCAAATTTCTCTAAAGAGAATTTCTTTGGAAAGTCCAGAAAATTTTTTTGAATTGAATTTTCTCTGAATTGATGTTGAGGGACTTTTGACATTATAAAAATATTAGATAGTTTTTATGTTATAAAATCTTAATAGCAGGGACCTTAAAAAATTCCCTATCCAATTGACATTCAGATAGCGGCCTCATTTGGTTTGCTGTTTTCTTAATATAGAAAAATTAGAAGTAAAAACAAATAAAATGTTCAATCGTACATATTAATTAATTATTTTTATTTTTATAATTTCTAGTATTTAAACTAAAAAAGAATTTCAAATGAATTTTAAAAAAAAAGAAATGAATTAAAAAAATTATTTCACATATAAAATTTAAAAAATTGCTAACAGGACACAAAACAAAATAAAATAGAGTACATACATGTAGGTCCTAATAAGTGGACTTATTATGTAATAGGTCCTATGAGAAAATTTATTATAAAAAAACATTACTAATTGTAAGTTTTAGTGTAATTTATAAAAATCATGACAAAAAAAAATTACTAATTGTCAATTTTTAGTGAATATATAAAAATTATTATAAAAAATTATTTTTAAGCGACAATTTTCATCAAGATTTATTTTCAATAAGACTTGATGTGAATTTAAGTTCAACTATTAGGACTATTTGGTAGTATGTTCTATCGTACATATTAATTAATTATTATTATTATTTTTTTATAATTATCAAGTATTTAACTAAAAAAGCATTTCAAATGAATTTAAAAAAAAGAAATGAATTAAAAAAATTATTTCACAATAAAAATTAAAAATTGCTAAACAGGACACAAAAACAAAATAAATAATAAGGATACATACGTGTAGGTCATAAATAAGTTGACTTATTATGTAATAGGTTTTACGAGAAAATTTATCATAAAAAACGTTACTAATTGTAAGTTTTAGTGACAATTTATAAAAATCATGACAAAAAAAAATTACTAATTGTCAATTTTTAGTGACATATATAAAAAATTATCACAAAAAATTATTTTTAGCGCAATTTCATCAAGACTTATTTTCAATAAGACTTGATGTGAATTAAGTTCAACTATTAGGACCTATTGGTAGTTATGTTCAATCGTACATATTAATTAATTATTTTATTCTTATAATTATCTAGTAATTTAGCTAAAAAAAGCATTTCAATGAATAAGAAAAATAAGAAATGAATTAAAAAAATTATTTCACAATAAAAAATTAAGAAATTGCTAAACAGGACACAATTTAGGTCTCGTATGGGATTAAATATTTTAGTCAAAAAATCAAAAAAATCATTATATATAAATTATTATAATTATTTTTCTATTTTTATAAAATAATTTAAAAATTTATTAAATAATTTGTTATCTTAAAGTGAATTATAGTGACAATAATGTTTTGATAACCTGAAATCCGAAATGCTGGGACCCAGTGGTGACGACCCCCAGCACCCCCACCTCCACTGGGGGGCTGCCAATGGCCAAAACTAAATAAAAAAAAAAATT